CCCTCCCAGTTCGACGAAGCCAAGGATTTCATGGCAAACCAGTCCAAAATCGACGGTATTCGAGACATCATGTACGGCTTGCAGGTGCTTCACAAGAGGATCCAAGAAGAATACCGAAAGTCACTATCGCCGATATCCGTCTTTGCCGACTCGGTAGTGCCTGTTATGAAGCGCATGCAGGATATTCTGCCCAAGAAGGCCATCTGTGACAGACTGCTGACGTCTTACATCGACACCTCCGAGACCATTTACCGAATGATCCACGTACCCACCTTTAAGGAGCAACATGAGCTATTCTGGGAAGGCAAATTGCCCGGGGATGCTTTTCTTCCCCAGCTTCTGACGGTTTTGTCCATCGGTTCCAGATTTGAGACGAAGTCGAAAGGGCTTGGCCACGAGCGCGTTGAGGGCGTGCACATTCCAACGGCGTGTGCGCTTGTCAGGTCATGGCTGGACGGTTTGAAGGGCAAGCAGCTGGTTGACTTGACTACTTTGCAGACGGAGATTCTACTGGTTCACGCGCAGAGAATGACAACACCGCGACCGCAGGATTCTTGGGCACAGTTGGGATACATCGTCCGGATGGCTATGACGATGGGCTTGCACCGAGACCCGTCAGAATTTGAACCGAGAGTACCGGTGTTCTTTGGCGAGCTGAGGAGGAGGCTGTGGTTCACGATTCTTGACATGGACCTGCATCTGTCGCTGGCATGCAACCTGTCATGTCTCGTTCGCGACGGAGACTTTACCTGCCGACCACCACGAAACTTGGATGACAAGGACCTGTTCTTCGAGATGAAGGAGCTACCGCCCAGCAAGCCAATCGATCAGCTTACCGATAATCAGATGCAGGTCTATGCTGCTATGACTCTAGGGGTCCGAATGCAGGTTGCGCACTTGATCAACCGCGTCGATTCGATCAGGGACTACAGCGAGGTTCTCGAGGTTGGAACGAAACTGGACAGATTCTTGGAGGACATAAACTACTTGTTCCCGCGCCACGGCATTTTGAACGAGGTTGAAAAGAGCAAGCAGTGGCGATCCAGAGTCATACTCGACATGCACGTGCGGCGGCCCTTGTTGGCACTCTACCGCCCCTTCGCCCTAGGATTGCCAGACGCGCCATCGCAGATTTCCAGAGCATATTTACGGTCATCCATGGTCATTATGCGATACCTCGACGAACTCGACCCCCTGCTGACTCACTTCCAAGACATCAGCGACATGTACCACATGGTTTTGAAGAAGGATATCTTGCAGGCAGCTTTCAGTGTGTGCTTTTACATCAAAGCGGCGATAGAGTCGCATGCCAACGGCAACACTCTGGGGATCTCATCGACCGTGGCCATGTCTCCCGATCCGATGGACGACGGTGTTGCCTTCAGCACCGAGACTTTTGCGCTTTGGTCCCCGTCGCGCTTGATTAAGACTGTCGAGAAGACGCTCAACTTGCTCGTCCGCAACGTTGGCGGAAACGACGTCAAGGACATTGTTGCACTTTCCGTTGTTCTATCATCGGTGCAATACACGAACCAGGAGCAGAAACTGCAGGACATTCGACGCAGTCTCCAAAGCGTCCTGGACGCTTGCAAGACAGCCACCAACACCAATCCCGAGAAGATGTCCCTGCCAGTTACGACGCCAGCCGATCCAATGGACCCCTACATGCAGACGAGAGCGCCATTCATGTTCCATGCGAATGCGTCGACGGCTGCGGTAAGTGACTATGGCGGCTGGCAGCTGTGGGAAGGCTGGGACTGGGCTGATTCGTGGTCGGCAGACTCCGGATGATTATGCGGATTGGGACCTGGATTACTGGAACCCAATGATACCGGGACCTTCCTAACAAACATATGCGGGGTTGAGGAGTAGGGATCCGACCCAAAGGGTCGGATAACCCCAATGAATTCCGCGCAATGGAACCCATGGTGTTCTAGAGGGGTTTGGGTCCGCTAGTATGGACGTTACAACAAACGACGCCGCCATCCTGCCGCGGCAGAGAAACCTGGAAAAAATAATGGAGTCGTCGCGCTTTTTGCGGGACGGAGTAGCGATGCCCTGCGACACTGTCTCCATACGGTCACCGATCACATGTTTTACTTGACCCGAGCACATCTGCCGACACAGCATCAACATCAGCAGACATAATTCACAACAGGTGTATTTCTGCACTGCGTTGCAAGGAAGGAAAGGGATGCTGGGCAATGGGCGGCCAAGGCCATCCCGGCAGTGGAGAGAGTAAACACGAAAACGCCCCGGCGGGTTGGGAAAAGCATACGAAAGAAACTTGTAAATATTACTATATCGACGATACCAAAGCAGCGGAGGACACCAAAAAGGGAGGGCATGGGTGGCGTTTCCCAAGCAAGCATTACATTATACAAGGCTCATCCAGCCAACGTTTTCTGACCCGATAGAAACTCAGTGGACTACTACTTCGTCTGACCTTTTCCGACTAGTTCGCAATAACCGGTGCCCGGCGGTTCCAATCAGGCTTTTCCGCGGCGTCGACCATGAACACTGCGACGCTCTTCCTGGTGATCTTGGGCATCCAGCATATACCCTTGCCGTCGTCACCGTAGTCTTTGACGGGAAAGGCCTCCCCTTGTGTAAGCATAGGCGGGCGGACCATCACCCAGTCCACGCCTTCGCCTTGCTTCCCGGTAACCAGCGCGTCAACGGCCCGATGGTCGTCGAGGGTGTACTTCATGTTGGTGTGCTCGAACAGCAGGCGGAAGGGCATGATGAGGCTGCCGCTGCTGGCGCCGACGCCCTGCATGCTGTTGATGACGATCTTGGGGACGCCGGCGGCCTTCATGCCTTCCAAGGCGTTGCGGACGGCGTCGTGCATCAGCGAGTCGGGGGTGTCTGGGTGCGGCGCGGCGAAGGGGGAGTCGGATACGCGCCGGGGGTTGAGGGCGACGATGACGGCGTCCGGGGCCTGGGGGGTTTGCAGAGCGGTGCGAATGTCCGGGAGGGAGAGGGGGTTTCCAGGAATGAGGGTGAGGTTTGGTTGTGGTTGTTGGGGGAGAGAGGAGGAGGATGGCGTGCGGACGAGGGCGGTGACGGTGTGGCCGCGGGAGAGGGCTTCGACGAGGATGAGGGAGCCGTTCCGGCCTGTTGCGCCGAGGATGAGGAAGTGCATTTTGGTAATGGGGGATGATAGTATGTTTGATGGGAGCAGTTTGGTGTGGAAGATGCGTGTAAGCTGAGTTGATGACGCTAGAATTTGGAGACGATTGGGGGGCAACCTGATCGCTCCTCTTATACATCATATTCAACTATTGCAAGCCACTTCACAAGCCTAGTATTTCTCAGCTTCCCGGCCGATACAGGAAGGATCATGATCGTCCTCATGGCGCAGCAAACTAGTGATCCGAGCAACAGAGACCACTCGGGCTTTCTCAGTAGTATCTATCGGCCGAGTCAGTCCTCCTGCTCAGCCGTGATATCCGATGAGCTTGCCATATCGGCCGAGACAGTTGACCACCACCGGCCGAGTGAGTGAGTTGCACCGCCCGACGGTAAAAGCTTACAAAGCGCCCACTTCCGAGGACCGACCGAAAACTCATGCGGAGCTCGGAGCGGAAGTAGCACCGGCCGGGAAAAGAAAAAAAAGGGTGTAGGCGAGCCTTTCCCGAGTCGGTTGCGTGGACAGGAGGGAAAGGTGGGATGCGATTTGATGTCCCATGTTCGACACATTTCATTATTGTGAGGAGAGTTTTTGGGAGATGAGATGTCAGCATAAGGTCAGCAAAAGCATCGAACGTCTCTAGCTGATGGGCGAAGATAAGCAAGAGAAAAGAATTTGGGATGCATGACGGAATCGACGGTTTGTGGTAGCCGTCAGAGAGAGGTAGACAGAGCAGGGAGGTTGGGAGGGGCCGTTTGAACCGTTTGGATGTACGCCCCTCCCTCACCTCTGTTGTTCTAATTTAGGTTTTGTTCGTCTGTAAGGTTATTCGGGAAGAGAGCTGAGGCTATTTTGATTATCTGGCAGATCTTTGTGCTGTGATGGTGACGATGATGATGTTCATGATGTCGGTGTTCCCGGTGCGTGTGTGTGCGTGTATAAGTCGAGGAAGGTTTGGGCGGGCCCACATGTTGTTGCTCGTCAGTGTGTGCGAGTGTTTGTCGGCCGAGTGGGGGCGGGGGAAGCGGGGATGATGATGTACAGAGTGAGGTTTGCTCTTCTTCCTATTTACCAGCTCGGAGCGCCGTGAGTGAACCGTGGACAGGGTAAGGGGCAGGGCGATTGTGAGGCAGGGGACATGGGCGGAGGGAAGTGTTCGCTTGGCCGCCCTTTCGGTCTGATAAATGTTACGAGTTTGGGTTTTTGGGGACGGGGGAGGGGAGGGGTGCAGCGGGGATTGGCGGCGGGGGTGGTGGTGGTGTGTGGTTTGGTTGGGGGAGCAAGTTGTTTTGTTTGGTGGATAACTAGCTATGCCCTCCTTTACATGCTAAAAAAGATTGCATCAAGAGAGGGAGGGGAATGGGGGGGAGGTTTGGGCGAACGGGGAGGACCCCTTCTCCGGGTTCGGTTTCGGACTTTTGAGAGGTGCGGCAAGTCCGGGACTCGGCCGGGTCCCGGGGCGGGTGGGGGCAGCACGGAGGAGAGGACGGAGACTAAACTGCATTTGGCAATTCGTAATGTTGGTCGGCCGAGAAGTGGAGACGGCTTACGGTGGTAGCTTGGCGATGCTCGAGTGGCTCTGCTTTTTGGTGGTTTTGAAGCGTTCATTGGGAGAGGGAGGAAAGGATTCCGGCAGAGGCTTTTTGGGATTACAAAGATGGAGGGATTATGTGGCCTTGAGGGAGATATGGGCGATGGGAAATGGTATAAAGACGGTGAGGTATTTTGGGTTGTTATTCAGCATCACTTGGAGCATCATCATCATCATCATCATCATCATCATCATCACAGCGTAGACATACATCTGCACTCCTTTGTCACGTCACACAAGATCACACATACATACTTCCCACCTCCCGCAGAAGAAATGTCCTCCACCAGAGACGAAGTTGCCATCATCGGCGGCGGCATCGCGGGCATGGCCCTCGCCCTCGCCCTGGCAGCACACTCCATCCCCTCCACGATCTACGAGATGCGCCCAGAAACACCACTGCCGCACCACGCGGGCGGCGGGATGATGCTCTGCCCCAACGCGCTGCGCATCCTCGACGGGCTGGACCTCTACACGCCGCTGCTGGCGCAGGCGTACCCGTTCGACTACGTCTACTACAAGGACCGCGACGAGAAGACGGTCGACCGGTACCCGATGGGCGGCGAGGCGCAGTTCGGGTACCGCGCCGTGCGGGTGTTCCGGCAGGAGCTGGTGGAGCTGCTGGCGGGCGCGTGCCGGGAGCGCGGCGTGCGGATCGAGCACGGGATGCGGTTTGTCAAAGTCGTCGAGGAGACGGAGAATAGCGTGGAGTTCGAGTTTGAGGGCGGCGGGAGACGTAGTGCGGGCTTGCTCGTGGGCGCGGACGGGATACACTCCAAGGTGCGGAGGGCGCACGTCGCGCCCGAGGCGAAGCTGGGGTTCGTCGGGCTCGCGGCGCTGACGTTCGCGGTGCCGACGGCGGAGCTGGCGATCCCGGCGGACAAGGAGTACGAGTTCCCCGTGAGCGTGGCGAGCGCGAACGGGGTGTTTGTGCTGGCGCCGCAGCGGCCGGACGGTGGGGAGATGCTAGCGGGGACGCAGGTGCCGTTCGACGAGGCGCAGGCCGGGCGCGGGCGGGAGGAGCTGCTCGCGGACAAGGAGGGGCTGAAGGCGCGGCTGCGGCGGGACGAGGAGCGGTGGCCTGGGATTGTGAGGTCTGCGCTCGGGGCGATCCGCGACGAGACGATGAACGTGTGGCCGTTTTACATGCTGCCGCCGCTGGAGCGGTGGACGTCGTCGGTGGAAGAGGGGAGGCGGGTGCTGGTGTTGGGGGACGCGGCGCATGCGATTCCGCCGACGACGGGGCAGGGCGCGTCGATGGCGTTGGAGGATGCGGCGAGTCTGGCGTTGGTGTTGAAGAGGGTGAAGGAGAGCGGCGGTCGGATCGGGTGGGCGGAGGGGGTTGGGTTCTGGGAGGCGATGAGGAGGGAGAGGCTCGGGGAGTTGGTGGTGTTGACGAAGAAGCTGAACAACAAGAGGCTGCCGCCGCAGGAGATGGAGAAGCTCGGGAGGGACGAGGTCTGGTTCGAGGAGGGAGAGGGCCAGATGAGGTGGTTGTATGTTCCCGAGATTGAGCAGCGGGTCGAGGAGTGGGTGAAGGGGAAGATGGAGTAGGGTGATTGTTGATGCTGATGAATGTCACGATGGAGTCAATCTTTGGATGTTTTTTCTTTACTAATCATTCCTCTGATAATGTATCTTCAGTAAGGCAGTCAGATGATTTCGAGACGAGAATGTCACTGAATCACCAGCTTCGAGTCAGTGAAGTCATGGCTCCGTCCCAGCACCGACGAGAAGGTTACCGCATGGGGCACTCACTAACACCGGAGGCACCTTAGCTGGGCCCCCTGTTACGGGGCCGATTTACCTCGGCATGCCCCCTGATTGGCCCCTAAGCAAGACAGAGACAGGGGACAGCAGGCTGCGGCTCGACGTTGTGGCGCCCGGGGCCTCGGCATTGTGCTGCTTCGAGACGCTGTTTCCCCGCATCGAAGCTGTCCTTAGCACCGCTTCCCACTGCTTTGGCGGCTGCGGGAGGGCGGAATTGGGGCCGTTTGGGGGGAGCAAAGGGGGGAAAACCTGGAGAAGCTCATCCCGGGGGCCCGGCCGGGGTCCTGAGGGGGCGGCGAAAGCTTCCCTTGTGCTGCAACTTCACTCATTGAAGCACATGTCACTTGACACATCACTTCACGTAGGCTCGGCTTGAATATATCTCCAACATCAACCCACCAATTATTGTCTCACTTCACTCATCGTTGTTATCTCTACTCAAACACCAAGTGGAACTCGAATTGAGCACCAAACATCACCAACACACATCAACCGCAGACATGCCCCCCCGACAGAAACGCGAAAAGGCGCCGTGCTACGTCCTCGGCGTCGGCATGACAAAGTTCATCAAGCCCCGCGGCAAGGTCGACTACACGGAGCTGGGCTTCGAGGCCGGCGTCAAGGCCATGCTCGACGCCCAGATCAACTACGACGACGTCGACCAGGGCGTCGCCTGCTACTGCTACGGCGACAGCACCTGCGGCCAGCGCGTCTTCTACCAGTTCGGCATGACCTCCATCCCCATCTACAACGTCAACAACAACTGCTCCACCGGCAGCACCGGCCTCGCCATGGCCCGCACCTTTGTCTCCTCCGGCGCCGCCGACTGCGTGCTGGTCGTCGGCTTCGAGAAGATGATGCCCGGCAGCCTGCAGAGCTTCTTCAACGACCGCGAGAACCCCACCGGCACCTCCATCAAGATGATGGCCGAGACCCGCGGCATCACAAACTCCCCCGGCGCCGCCCAGATGTTTGGCAACGCCGGCCGCGAGTACATGGAGAAGCACGGCGCCAAGCCCGAGGACTTTGCCGAGATCGCCCGCATCAACCACGAGCACTCCACCCGCAACCCCTACTCCCAGTTCCAGGACGTCTACACCCAGGAGCAGATCCTCAAGGCCCCCGAGATCTTCGCGCCCCTCACCAAGCTGCAGTGCTGCCCGACCTCCGACGGCGGTGCCGCGGCCGTCCTCGTCTCCCAGGCTTTTCTTGATGAGCGCCCCCACCTCAAGGACCAGGCCGTGCTCGTCGCGGGCCAGTGCCTCGCCACCGACGCCCCCTCGCTCTTCTCCCGCTCCGCCATCGACCTCATGGGCTTCGAGATGACGCAGCACGCCGTCAAGGCCGCCATGGCCGAGGCCGGCGTGACCACGAACGACGTCCAGGTCGTCGAGCTGCACGACTGCTTCTCCGCCAACGAGATGATCGTCCTCGACTCGCTCGGCCTCGCGCAGCCCGGCAAGGCGCACGAGCTCGTCCGCCGCGGGGACATCACGTACGGCGGCAAGTACGTCGTCAACCCGTCCGGCGGGCTCATCTCCAAGGGCCACCCGCTCGGCGCGACGGGCATCGCGCAGTGCGCCGAGCTGGTGTGGCACTTGCGCGGGTGGGCGAACAACCGCGCCGTGCCGCGGACCAAGGCCGCGCTGCAGCATAACCTTGGGTTGGGCGGCGCCGTCGTCGTGACGGTCTACAAGCGCGCCGACGGCAAGGAGGCGCCCAAGGTCGACTCGGCCACCGTGGGGAAGGTGAATAAGCTTGGGTACAACCCAGCCGTGGAGGCCAAGGGATTCACGGCGCAGCAGGCGGCGAGCGTGAGGAGCAGGACCAAGAAGAGCGACTGGGCGCTGCAGGACACCGAGGAGAAGGTTGAGGCTAGGTTTTAGGGTAATGGCTGTGGTGTATAAGAACAAATTGTACAAATTGAAATGTTCTTGGGTTTCTCAATGATTTTGACGGCACATGCTGGATATTCAACTGCTGCTCTTCTTGACCTCGTAGGTAAGCAGATACACAGTATACTCACCCTTGCCACCCCATTTGGAGTCGTCTTGAACGACGCGCTCGACCTCCTTGAAGCCAAGTCTCAGGTACAGGTTCAAACCGGCTTGAAATGCGAGAATGAATATGTCAATCCCCATTTTCTCAGCCTGCCTGATGCCGCTTTCTACCAATGCTGTACCAATACCTTTGCCCTTGTTTTTGGGGTGCACAGCGAGGTAATCCAAACCTGGAATTGAATTAGAAAAAGACTCTCCAGTCAAGCCACAGAAAAGACTCACTAAGATGAGGCTTCTCCGCCAGTATGCGCTCCTTCACCTTGACACTCTCATCGTCGATGCCTTCCATGTCAATCGGCTCCCACCACGCCCCGTCCGCCCTCTCCTTCAGCGCCTTCCTCTCCTCCGCGCTAACGTCCGGGATCTGAGCCGCGGCCCACTCGGGCCGGCTGCCGCCCCCGTCCGGGCCCGAGGTTGTTGTCTTGGCGGCGGGGAGCTCCCAGCGGGCGTAGCCGAGCAGCGCGCCCGTAGCGGGGTCGACGACGACCTCGTGGCGCAGAGCGTCGCGGTCGCGGAGGAGGTTGTTCGGCAGCCGCTTAGCCGCCTGCTCGATCAGGAAGTCGAGGGTGATGTGTTTGGGCCACAGCAGGATCCAGTTCGGGTCCGTCCAGAAGGCCGACATGTTGTTGCGGGCGAGGGAGGGCCCGTCTGCGAGGGTGCAGGGGCGGATTTGAAACGGTGGCATTTTGTGTTGGTCTTTTCTTCTGTTTCTTTCTTTGTACAAATCGGAGGATGCCCCGTTGAATGAAGATCGTTGTCTTGGCGTAATGCGAGTGTGGGTGGGTGGGACGGATAGACGTTAGTCGCGTGGGAACTGGCTACTGCAACCCGGTGGGTGGTGAGGTGAGAATATCGAGACTACAGATAGGTGGATGGGGGTGCTTTGCTTACAAGAGATATGAGACGATCGAACAGACGACAGGTGATTATTAAATAGGGCCGATAGCAAGAAACGAAACAAAAACGTTGCTGCTTGTTCTTGTTTCTTCGGATGGATTACTGGATGAGAAGGTGTTTCTATTTTCGAAGATGTGATGTGCTTCCGACGGAATCAATCCGACTCCCCCGGATTTCTTGGTGATAAGTGTCTAGTGTGTGTGAGGTATGTTGGGCGAGAGAATTCCATGGATTCCGCGGCTGCACATGGGAAGTCTGATTCTAAACCTACAAACGGGCCACGTTAACCACCGGGACGGTACCGGGCGTGGGGCTCCACGTCCCGAGAATTTCGGTACCAAGACTCCACATTTGGAAGCCGGTTCCCGAAGACCTCTGTGTTCAACGGAACCCGGCTTGTAAGGCTGTAGAGATGAGTTTCTTTACACCACAAAGATAGTTTTGGCTTTCGATGAAGTTTGCATAGCGCTGTGAAGGCAAATCTTATCTATAGGTAAGTTACCAATGGCCTTTTACGTCTGATACTAACTCAATGTCTTGACTTTCCTACAGCTACAGAAACGCATTTTCAGATCAGCTAGACTCAAAACTCATTCGTCACTACAACGAAACTACTACCATGTACTTACATGGCAAGTACTGCGTAGTATAAGCATAGGTACTAAGCTTCCCATCTTCAAGGACCTGTGCTGTAAAGCTTAGAGCTTTTTATTGAAGCTAGCTTTCGCTATCCATATAGTTAACTCGACGCCCCTAGAAAGGGCTAACTATCATTTCAAGGCCCAGTAAGATTGCGCTTGTCACGAAGATCCGTTGTCCACGCGGCCACTGTTATTGCGATTGTTCACGATCCTCGAAGTTCAAGCCGCTAGTTGATCCAAGGCAATCCAAATAACCGTCTCCGGCAACACGTGGCGAGGTTATTTGATCGGAGCCTATCCTCGCCGAATGATATGTGTAGGTTTTCGCGCACTCAATCAGATTGCTTACTACCGTTTAAGGCTTGCCAAACGAACGGGAGGTGGTAAGAAAGTCAACCTAGCCTTCGGGGATACTCAACACCATCCACGTGGGGCATTGCGTGATCCCGAACCCTGACCGTTTCTTCCCTCAGAAACAACCGCCCCCAAATCCTTCTCCCGCAGAACCAATGCAGTTGGTCAATTGATCTTATCGCATCTCCGCCCGCGATCTCGGCATGTGTAAGTGGATCTAAGCAATGAGGCTAACATTTCGCGTGCATGTTCACGTCCACCTCCGATCCCACGCTTCATCAGGGGGATGCGAAATTCGAGGCCTCTGATGCGGTTATTGTATACCCGCCGTGTCCACTCCGAACAATTGCGTGCTATGCTCCCGTTATCTCTGCTGAGCTGCAACGCCGATGCAAAACTCTGTAAAATCGCATTCCCGATGGGTCATGGCGTGCTCGTCCAGTGCCGTTGCTGCACGAGGTTTAAACTTGACTACTTCCTGCATATTGAAACAATCAATGTGGCCTGTGACTGTCTTTGCTTCTTGTACGTGAGATAATCAACGAGAACATTTCAAAATGGCTCTCGCTAAGCTTGCTCAGTTCTACCGGTCATGTCTGTTCCAAATCATCATCGTTGGACTCGTGGCATTCTGCGAGCCAGGTATCTGGACGGCGCTGAATAACTTGGGGGCCGGAGGAAACGCAAAGGTCAGCTCTTGATGTTCAGTTTCAGCCTCAAGAGTTCGTATTCACTAATGCACCGGACAGCCGTTCCTTAACAATGCCGCGAATGCCCTCACATACGGACTCATGTCCGTGGGCTGCTTCATAGCCGGCGGTGTCACGAACAAGCTCACCGCCAAGTGGACCCTGTTCATCGGCGCAGCCTTCTACACGCCCTACGCAGCCGGTCTCTACTGCAACAACCGCTACGGCAATGAGTGGTTTCTGTTGCTCGGCGCGGCCTTGTGCGGCATAGGCGCCTCGTTACTTTGGGCAAGTGAGGCGAGCATTGCCGTCGGGTATCCCGAGGCAGAGAAGCGAGGCCGGTGAGTCTTCCGCTCTGATACTGATAGCCCAACTGCAGCCTGCGCTGACTTGTTTCGATCTAGATATGTTGGCATTTGGATGGGTATCCGTCAAATGGGCCCCCTCGTCGGCGGTGCAATCTCTCTGGCGCTGAACATCAAGACATCCGAGAAGGGCAAGGTGACGTACACGACCTACCTGGGCCTCGTTGCCATCTCATCCCTGGGCGCTCCGTTCGCGCTGCTGCTCTCCCAGCCGCAAAAGGTCGTCAGAACAGACGGCACCAAGATTCCGTACATGAAGCAGACCAACTTCGCCACCGAAGCCCGCGCAATCTGGAAGCAGCTGAGGAACAAGTACATGCTGCTGCTCATCCCCGTCTTCCTGGCAGGGCAGTTCGGCACCACGTACCAAGGAAACTACCTCACAAGTGCGTCTCATCTCTCCCCCATATCCATCTCAACCACTGACAGGATCCGCGCAGCCTACTTCACCGTCCGCTCCCGCGCCCTCGCCTCCTTCCTCACAGCCGTCGTCGGCGCCGCGGCCAACCTCATCACCGGCGCCATCCTCGACATCAAAAGCATCGAGCGCTCTGCCAAGTCCAAGGCCGTCTACCTCACCATCCTCGTCTTCGTGACCGCCGCCTGGATCTGGAACGCCGTCATCGAGACGCGGCTCTCCTCGATGGCGGACCCGCCGTCCTTCGACCTCGGCGACGGCGCCTTCTTCAACTCCGCCTTCACGGTGTACATGTTCTTCAAGTTCTTCTACGAGATGCTGCAGACGTACATCTACTGGCTGATGGCGGAGATCAAGGGCGCGCAGGGCGACGGGGACATCGCGCGCACGACGGGCATCCTGCGCTCGTGGGAGAGTATTGGCAGCACGATTGCCTATGCGGTGGGCGCGACGCACTGGCCGAACAAGAACCAGATGATCCTGGGGTTCACGCTGTGGGGCGTCACGATCCCGTTTACGCTGCTTGCGGTGTTTGGGAACTGGAACACGGGTGGGGAGGGGGAGGAGGAGGTGCAGGAGGTGATTGAGAACTCGGACGGGACGGAGAGTGAGCTTGGGGTGGAGAGGGTTACGGTGCAGGGGAAGAGGGAAGAGGTGTGAGAGACCGACTTTTCTCTCCCTTGTTTCTCTAGCAATATCTGTATGATAATGGTCATGACCATCGGGAGCGTTCGCTGGAGTGCAGGTATAGACACTGATAACACATTCACTAGAAAGATAGACAACTGCAATTTCACTAGAATCTGAGACATAAGAGTCTAGACTGATTTCGGCTTCGGACTTCTCGAAGTGGTTGATCGCTTGGGGTTTGGTTGCCGCCTTTCCATCATTCGGCTCGTAAACTTGAAAGACAGAAGTAAGCGCTGTGTGCAGCGAAATCAGGCGCCACGCGAGATGTAAGCCTCTTCGTTTTTCACTTCCTGTCTTCCCTTCTGCGGTTGAGATGTTAACCAACCAGAGGGTAGAAATTGACGCCGCCTGACCCAACAAGGCTCACACAGTCGCACATCATTTCAAAGCACGCTGCCTCACAGGTAACCAGCCCCAAATGTGAACCACACCTTTCCTGGCATGCATCTCGTCTTCAGTCTTTAGAGGCCAGCCTAAAGTGTCGCCGAGAATTGCTGTCGCTATGCCAATGCCGCTCTACAGTCCTCTTTCATTGGCGGATTGACGTCGAAACCTCGTGGCATCGAATATTCAGGTCTCTCTGTTCACATCATTTCATTGACAATTCAATGCAGAACCTAGGATGGAAATTTGCGGCGGGAGAAAGCACAATTTTTCATCCTTCACTAGCCGTCGATAATTCAGTCGTGGATGTTTAAAGCACTCGCCCACCTTAGCTATGACGGAAATTTATCAAAATATCGTAAACCGTTTCACCCACATCATACACGAAGCAATGCTTTCAAAGAATGGAGAGCCAGAACTTGCTATAGTTCCACTTGCAAGAAATGATCACTTTGACAGAACTGTTTAGCATGACCGTAAAGCAACTTGAAAAACCCTATCCCTAAAAGCCTTTGACGTGGAAATCACTGAAACATTGTTCTTATTGTCTGATGTGCTGAAAAGCGAGATAAGAAGTCTTTAGGAGATAAATCTGGAGAAACTTCGCGTCGTTGGCGCTGATCGTAAGGTCTTGTGTCGTGTTAAATGCCCTTCCTCACGACTCAAACCTATTCCGAAACCTCTGAAGGCTATGGAACCGGCGCTATCCGTGAACAAGCTCACGTTAGAAAGTCTAGCAGTGCAAGTCAGGCTTTTGAAAAATCACTCAACAGAGAACGAGACACTCATTGAACCGGTCTCTGCTCGTAACACCATGTGTCACCTTTCGTTCTCCTCGGTTGCTTATTCGTATACCATAACTTGGGTATTGACCGCTGCAATTGTACCCCTGAGTGCGATTTGAATCCGGGGGCTTTCTATAAACGGTGGTCGCTTATGTCCTGGCTTGGCTTACAGCCTCCCGGGATTTCAATTAAAGAGATCTTGCTGGTTTCGGCGAGTCTTTTATTGCTCACAGTCCGAGATACCTCAGCTAAGGATGGCGATGATGAGGTGTCCGAAGTCTCTTGATTTCTTGAACACTTACGATACCTCCATAACATGCACAATAATGCTTGAAATTGTACAAATTAACAAAAGAATGTATATAGTTGGTTATTCAAATGCTCGTAGAGCTGTAAAGGAGTGATAGATGATTCATAAATGCAGACCCTAGTCCCCCGTCCTCGGACTTTCATCCTGAGCCCGGCCATCACTCAATCAACCGGTCTGGCTCAACTACGAGTGCCCTCTTTAGCACTCGACTCTGAAAGACCAGCATCCCTCCAGCGAGTGGCACTGGTGGGAGCTGAACGCCCTCTTCACGCCCCCGTCGCAGTTTCCGCCCGGGTAGCATCGAACTGATCGGAACAAGTTAGCCGTGACTCCGCCGCGAAGACCCAACGAGATAGAGTAGCTTACTCTTGCAAGCGGTGTTATGCTCGAGAACCCTCATGCCGTGGTCGGTGCTGTACAGCGGGTTGCAGTTGCCGCGGCTGTACTCGCGCGTCGGGCCGCCGCCGTCGGAGCAGTTGGTCTTGCCGCTCTTCTTGACCTTGAAGTCGGCGGCTGCGGCGGTGGAGCCCAGGACGGCGCAGGCCGTGAGGACGGTGGTGAAGATGTTGGAGATGAGCATTTTGACAAGGGGGTTATTGGGGTGAAAACTTTGGTTTTTGGGGAACTGATTCGTTGATGGCAATGGTGAAGATGCGGATGTAGGCTGGTTGAAAAGTAAAGAAGGTCCTGAGAGGACGACAGACATATTTATATTCGACTGATATGTTGGTTCCTGGTACGTGTTCTGGACCATCCACTAGGATAGAGTCACAATTCACATCATCAAAAGGCGACAAGTATGGGCTGATAGCGCTGGTTCCCTACCTATGCTACGAGGGCCAACTTGGGAACTCTCTCGATTGGGCGATTGGATGTTGTCATTCGAGCAAAAGTTGTGACCCAGCCGCTTAGCTAGGTACTGCTTGAACAGTTGCAAAAGTGATTGACCACATAAGCGCCAAGATGGCTCCGATTGGCCGTACAGAGGAGCCAAGGAAAATCCCACTTGGCAAGCGTAAAACGAATGACTTCACCCGGGTATCAATCCATTCTAGTTTCTTGTCGGGCGTATTGTGTCTCGCGATGTTCCACAGAAGTGAGCAATGATGAAACAGCATCCGTCTAAGTGGTCAAGGTGTCTTCACAATGTTGTTAGTCGTGAAAAAGATCAGTAGGGGCTTAGATGGGTGTTTAGCGACGAAGGTTGGTCTAGACAGGTTGTATCCTAGGCCTTGTAAAACCAAATCACGAAACATCATCATTTTAGGTTGTCTGTGACCTTCGGACTCAAATGAAAGCAGAGAGATACGGTTAGCCTACTGATAGGCTCCTTGCTATCTTGGTGCGGAATTCGCGTACCCCCCGGCTATCATTGGCATCACGGTTCATTACAGCAGTCGTTCATTCTTGTTTCACAGGAAGGATTATACAGTGTACGTTGATTGTTTCCATGTCACGGTGCTGATGTGAGACGGCAAGTACCCACAACTATCCATCATTTTTATGAAAGAATGCCGAACGATTCCGAAAAAAGCCAGCTTTCAGCTGATAACCGCTCCACTCTTGAAGTCATGCTCGCATTTCACCATTCGAGGACTAGAGCTGACCTCGAAGTCACAGCAGAGACAGAATAAAACTCCCTTGCAAGTCTATTGCAGGCACGGAGAGAAAACCTGTGGAGAAGTTGTACAGCTTCTGCACGGAGATTGGCTGTTCCTACAGGGGATCTTCCCATGAGAAGTCTGGGCTAGAAACAGCCAAGAGACTAAGCTGACATCCTCGCGTTCGCCCGTCCGGCGGCTCCCGCCCGGCCCGCTGCGCCACCCAGCGAAGCTCGACAACATATATTTGCCAAATTAGGAATGATCTTGCGGGTAACGACTGCAAGGGGACTTGGAAAATGGATCAATGCACTCGACAGCGCACTCATTACCTTCGTGATGTCAAGCAATGTGATCGTAATTGCGAGCTGATGTTGGCGGTCTTGTCTTGGCTGCGCGCGTTAAGTAAGCGCTACGCCGCGCTGGGGAAGCACGCGGTATGTATATGTCTCTAAACGTTGGGTCTTTTCGGAAATGACCAAGCTGATTCGATACTTCAACTGGATATAACCGTATGGCCAGAGCTTTTCGTAGTCTGGGGCAGTATGTCTACTGTTTTTGTGTCACTTTAGCTGCGGAAGGATTTAGTCCCCAATCTCTTGGCCGGCGTTTTCTTATATTGCAATATCTTCCGTCGGTGTTATGTTTAATATCCCGTTCTGTCTCATAGACAGCATGCTAATCCTCATACTAGCGAGAAGTCTGCGCGCATTGTGAATCCTTCTACCATGTTCCAGCAAAGATTATGTTACAGATCATCATCATCGTCCACAGTCTTCTTAGTATTCTCTGGTTTTGGCCGCCCATATTAAGTTACTTCGTCATCAGACTCGCAGAGGAACTCAAGCTTTCACCGCCAAATCCGCCGAAACTATGGCATAGAATCTTGTGCTATTCGGTCATCGACCAAAAACAATGAGGCGCGGCTAATTGTTGTCTCGCGCAAGTAATGGTACGTTAAACCAACACATTCAGTCAGCCTCCGCACCCTCCGCACCGCACTTCTTCTCACAGTAATACGTCATCTCGTCGCCGCCAATATGAACCGCTGCCGAGTGGCATCCCAGCTGCGTCTGTTGGAGCCAAAATGAGTCAGTACCAAGTTCGGGGACGGAAAAGAATCAACAAAATGCGCGCACCTCGTCATAGACACAGTCGGGGCAGGTGTCCCACCAGTTGCTGCCGGTGTTGCGATTCTTGTACATTGTGCAGGCGCACTGAGTCGCGGTGGTATCGACCTCGTAGTCCTTGGACCAGCTGTAGCTGGGGCTGAACGGGGTTCCGCCAATGGGGGCCTCTTTTCTGTCCCGGACGCAGAATGCCCACTCGTGCATATCGCCGAATACTCTGTCATTGAGCAAATGAGCTTTGCTGTTTTGTAGCTCATGTTGAAGAGACTAAAGAATTTCACGTACCTGGTAGCAAGGGACAGCAGTAAAAGAGCTGCTGTGGGAAAATGCATCTTGATTCTTCAACTCGGAGGGGGTTTTCTGTGAAGAGCTTGAGAGTAGTAAACTCAAGAACCCAAGTGGAAGGAAGTATCACATCAACATATGAGGCTGTAGACGAACTGCTGTACTCGGCCTGAATTAAACAAGACAGGCAATTTTATATCGGGTGCTTGTGAGACCCGAAGTCCGGGTGGGATTTCATGACCATGTCGTTCAACGCCGCACTCCGCTGACCGATGAAAAGCCCGGTATCCCACTCAAGGCATGCGAAAACCACGTGCCCGAAGATCATCAACTGCTTCTGTCATCGGAGGCCGCACACGGCGATTATTACTGAGTGTGCCCACAAAAGATTGGAGAGGCTGAAGACCGACGAAGCCGCAAAACATCCATCACGACTCAACACCCTCCCCGATGTGCTTCGAGTTGATTGTGCGTT